TGACTAGGTTATAGAATCCGATGAGTCAATAGCCACTGCACCTGCACGGCTATCGGGCTTCTATAACCTAGGACAATTATAACTGTAGTAGGTTATATAAGTGGATAGCTGCGCAGGTGCTGTTGCAATAGTTAGACAGTTCGACAAGGATTTTCTGGGCATGCGCACTAGCACCATCTACTGTAGATCTCCTACTGGCAGTTAGTGATGTCCAGTTCCTGAAATAAAAACAAATGACAAACGCACTCAACAATTTGTCACCAGTTATACAGTAAGGTGCACACGAAATGGGCTTTGAACAGTAAAACAGTAGAAAGGCATCATGGCAGACTCACAAACCAGCATGTAAAACAACTTGTTACATGCTGGTTTGTGAGTGTGCCATGATGCCTTTCTACTGTTTTACTGTTCAAAGCCCATTTTGTGTGCACCTTACTGTATAACTGGTGACAAATTGTTGAGTGCGTTTGTCATTTGTTTTGCTTGACCGATTTGGTGCAGCGACGCATGGGGGTTCTCAGCTGCTATTGGGATGTGCGGGATCCCTTGTGTGTTTCTGTGCTTTTATAGGAGGCCGGGCTTCCTCCTGACAAACCTGCACCCAATTTGATATCTTCTGCCCCCATGTGCTCCAAGATGGAGACTCTCATAGTTTAAAGTTAGGACCACATTAACTTTAGGTGCCTTGGCGCGGCAGTGCGGCTTTCACATTTTCTGCAGAAGACGTGTATCCAAACCTCTGCTATTAACCTCAGTGGTGAGACAAGTTGTTTTACATGCTGGTTTGTGAGTGTGCCATGATGCCTTTCTACTGTTTTACAGTTCCTGAAAGAATTGTTCTTTTGAATCGATTCTCTTCAGTGAACCGGATGAGTCGACTCCTCGGAGTTAGCTGATCCGTTTGAAGCAGCTCTTGTAACACGATCCTAGAGCTCAGCTTCTGCCAGCCCCGCCCAGCCCCTGACTGCAACCAATCACATCTGTGAGCTGGATACACCTCCAACAGCTCTGACTCACAGTACACTGAGTCTAAAGGTGGCCATACACCTTGCAACCATTGCACGACTTTTATCGTGCGAGGGTTGTAAGGTAATTAAAAGCTTGTACGATCTGCCCATCTTGGACAGGCATATCGTACTTGCGATCATCGCAAGCCCGCCCCACTGAGGGGAGGGCTTCCGATGACTGCAATGGTGAGTGGGCAGTGTGCGCTTGCGCACACTGGCCCATTCGGCATTTGTCTACCGAGCAGGCCACTAACCCGTGGAAAATCGTACGATTTTTGGCAGGTTTTCCAGCGTGCTCGGAAGACAAAAGACGTGTGACCGTAAAGTAGAAACGGTTGCACGCCTTCCATACACCTGCCGATTACACCTGTACGATAATCGGCAGGTGTATGGGCTCCTTAAGACTCATGAGTCAGATGGGAAGTTCGCATCTTTTAAATTAATCGGTTCATTTTGATCAGTTCATTCAAAAGAACCGATTCATAAATCGAATCATCGGTTCACTTGCTGAGTCGGCTGAACCGAAGCTCAGGAGCAGTAACACGCTTTTTATTCCATTCATGAATCTGTTCTTTTGAATGAAAAGTTCAAAATGAACCGATTAATTTGATAGATCCGAACTTCCCATCGCTACTGGCAGTCACCGAATGTGACCTCACCAGTTGGAGAGGTCGACAAGTTGGAACTTTCGATAAAACACCGGGTTCAGTCTGAACCTGAGCTCATCCCTATCTCTTCCAGTGGACTCTCTCCTGCTAGTTACATTTTTACGGGTTTACCGACCCACTTCACACATACTAGTCACCACTGGGGCAACTTCCCAATATATATATATATATATATATATAATGGTTTGGGAATTATATATACGTATATAATTCCCAACCCATTGTATTTATGTTCTGTTTAGCTTTAACATTAACATATCGACAGCAGTATAAGCGACGAACAGAACAGAAAGAACAAGAGCACTTCAGCCACTGTCAGCGCTGAGCCGTGAAAGCACGCCCCCTAAACTCGTTGTTTGGCGCGCAAATTTCTAGAGCCAATAAGCAGATCCAATATGAAGCCACGCCCCTGTAACTAACGGAGATCAGTAAGTCGCTGGCTAAAAAACGCCGGAAGGAGGAAGTAATGGATGTCCATGTGACAGTATTTGGAGCCGGGTGGTATGCATTGAAGGATGACTATAACTTGACAGCCTTGTAGGTCGTACATATTTGTCAATACATAGTGTCACGTTGGGATTTTTACCGAGTGCGATGAGATAGGGTCTGAATTAGTAAATATATTATTAGCATCTACTTTATGTTAAAGCCTGGCTCCAGGCTGAGTTTAAAGTACAAATAACACTCGCATCCCCAGCAGGTTGTTTTGCCAGGGTATGATTGAAATTGGACCTTCGGACACACACAAAACAAACACTTTTCACCATTCAACTCCTCCACAATATAAAAGAGCCAACCTTTTTAAAGAAAAGTTAAATGCAATTTAAAAAAAATGTTTTACTTTCATGTTCAACCTTCCGATTCTTCCATTCTTTCCAAGTCGACAATGATGCAAAGCCGCCTCCTGGGATACTAAAATCACATATCCCAGGATGCATTGAATTTCACACAGCACTGGAGGAAGGATCTGGTGCTGCGTTATTGGAGAGTCAGCTGTACGAACCAGAAGGAGACAGTCAGGTCCTGATGACAATGAAAGCAAAGCTGGTTGGACAACGCAGGATTCTTTGGCCTTGTGATTATGTTTTTCTTGGGTAAAGGAGCATCAAAGGTAAGTGACATACTGGGAATAAGTTTAATGGGCATGGGTGACATTCCTCTTTAAAGTGACACTAAACTCAGATAAAGCTTAAAAATGGATTCAAGTACCTTAAGGCCTCATTCACATGAGAAAAGGCCAGCATCCACTGCTGCGTGCACGGCCGTAGAGGGCAGCTCCCGGGAAGGACAGGTGCTGCGTGTGATTAGTACGCAGCCCTTGTCCTTCTCTATGGGATCCTGTCTGCGTCTGAGCTGGGACACCCGTACAGCCTTGCACTTGGGGGCGAGCGTAGGGTGGCATATGGCCGCATACTCTCATAGAGAAGGACAGGGGCTGCATACCAATCACACGCAGCACCTGTCCTTCCCGTGAGCGGCCCCATACAGCCATGCACGGAGCTATACGTGCCGGCCTTTTCTCGTGTGAATGAGGCCTTACTGTTATCAAAAATGGATCTCGTGCATCACTTGGCTGTAGATCCTCAAATCATCTCTGAATTCATGCTGACACTGTCCTTCCTTCTGGAGGGTGGCTACTTTGTTTCCCCATGGTCCCTGTGTGTGTTTAAAGTAGCCACCACTCCAAGCTCGCTTCCGTAATGGACTACAATATCAATACAAATTAGTAAACTAAACCTGAGATTGTAATCCATCATGAGTGAGCTTGGAGCGGTGGCTACTGTACAACACACACAGGGACCATGGGGAACAAAAGTAACCACCCACCAGAAGGAAGGACAGTGTCGGCACCATTTCAGAAATGATTTAAGGAACTACAGAGTGATACACAAATAATATACATTTTTGTTAATAATTAGGGAACTTGTATGCATTTTTAAGATTTAACTCCTGAGTTTAGTGTCACTTTAACAGAAAGGTTTAGTTACCTTAGTCCATGGTCCCACCATCTTTCTCCCCACCAGTTCTCATTGTGAGGACAGGTGCTCTGTAGTTGCTTCTGTTGGTGTCTGTGCCCATGTTGCCACCCTGTCACTGAATGCTGTGGTCCACACTGGTCCTGTATTGTACAGGATAGCATAAGAGTGCCTTCCTGCATTCCTGTGCTGGAAAGAAGAGGATTGGAACCCCAGCTGTCACAGGTTAAGGTAAGTAATACTTTATGTGAAATCAGCTCCTAGAAAATTAGAATTTTATTCTTAAACTTCTGGGGTGGGGGTGGTTGGGGCACAATTATTTTATCTTCCACTTTAAAATGCTTTCCTGGTGCGTACATGGCAGCGTAAATATCCAAGCATATGTAGGCGCCAGGAAAGAAAAATGACAGTGTATAAGAGGCACTTTTTCTGGTGGTTACAGTTGCATATATATTCTGCCATGGAAAGGCACCAGTAAAGGAAAATTACAGCAATATGAAACCATTTTCCATGTTGTAGGACTGTCACCGGTGCCTTGTTGTAGACCTTAACAGTATGACTCATGAACATAATTTGTGTGACAATGTAAGGGCGTTCTTTGTCTGTAAAAAAAAAAAAAAGTTTAACTACTGTTAAGATTGTGCAAAGAACAATGAGGGAAATTTACGAAGTCTGGAGCAGATAAAATCCGGAGCAGCTGTTCACAGTAACCAATCAGCATCTAGCTTTCATTTTGAAAGCTGAAGATAGAAGTTGATTGGTTACTATGCACAGCTGCTCCTAATTTTAGTTTTAGTAAATTCTCCCTTAGTGAATTGAATACATTATATTTTTTAATCCTGGTTTAGTGTGTGGAACCTCAGACCTGTTCTAGAGAAGCTTTCAAGGAGACCTGTACTAAGAGCTTCATATTGTTCACCTATCATTTGGAAATGCGAGTTGGCTGTCTTGCTGATCTCAAAATACTTGAACAATGCCCGCATCCAATCAGATTGTTCAGGTATTTTGACAGCCAGCGGGGCCAACTAGCAAGATACTAAAGCTTGGCCCAGCAGGAGATTCCTCCATCCACACAGTTTAGGGTAAATGGAGGAATCTGTTGCACTTTTTCCACCTGACCGCAGAAAATCTATAGGTGTTTGGCCAGTTTAATGCTTTTAGTTTAGTCCTTAGATGAAAACGAGCAGTTAACCCTTGCAGTGCGGGTGTAGCCCCACTGTAAGGGTTATTTAAACATTTTGGCTACAGTTCTTCTTTAAGAACCCTATCTGTATTGCTCTGCAATCTCAGTATTAATTTTATTAGAGCAAGCCTACTTTTTTTTAATGCAACTTAATTTTTCTGTTTTGTTTTTCAGATTTTAAAATTCCTGCCCGGTGAACATGGGAGCAAGTGTTAAATGTGTTATCACTGGAACCAACATTAAAGGTGAGTTAACTGAGAGCTCCATCCAAAACAGATGTTAGTTATTAATGGACACCAAAGATTTGAATTATATTGTGGCATTTCTGAACCCCCCCACACCCCTTTCCCCCAAATCTGCTACCCTGCTACTTTATGTACCAACACAAGTTCTACAAATCCCAACTACAGTATTTCTTTTATTTTGGATAAAGTAGGAAAGAGTTACAACCTCTTGTAGGATAATAATGTCATCTGTGTAATCCACTGGTAAGATTTCCCCTCAGAAATGTCAGGAGGGGAAGTAGCGGGAAATCTTTCTAACAAGTACACAGGAAAAAATGCATTTTTAGTAGGGTGGAAAGGCTTGGAGCTCTTCACAATGTTTTTATTGATGTCTGCACCTTCCTGTCCCAGAAGCCTCCCCCCCCCCATTTCTTCGATTGGCCTCAGAGGGACAGGATGTCGGGTTAAATCTCTACTGGGGTTAAGCTGGCCATACACTACACGAATTTCGGCTGGTTCTTGATAAACCGGCTACACTTCGCACAGTGGGTGCCACTGTCGGCACCCTTTCGACCAGCATTTCTCGATCCGCTGATCAAAAGAGCCGGTCAGGAAATCTTCCAACGAATAGAGCCGGCAACCAATGAGCTGCTGGCTCTGTTTGGGGTATTCTGATAGTGGCCGTCAGCCGCCATCAAAATAAAGTGCAAACGGCAGGAGATTCCTCTATCAATGCGCTAAGCATTGATGGAGAGATCTGTAATATATTTTCGCTGTTGAACAAAGAAAATATTGCAGTGCATGGGCAGCTGTACAGACTGAGCTAAAAATCTGTCAGACATTTTACATTTCAGGCAGAAATGACCAGTTATGAATTCTGATGACTACTTTGTCAGAAACTTTGGCCAGAGCTGTGGTTGGAAAGTAGTGCCTAAAAGAGGCTATGATCTGACTAGCCTCAGACTCCTCTAAGCACTAGTGCTGTCATAAACATGCATGCATGGTAATGGTTTTCTGCATGCTCTATCTTGAAGACTAAGGGAATGCATGCACCAAGAAACATGTGTATTAGAAAGTCAGAATGAAGTCAAAACCTCTGATACGTATACTTGTTACAGGTTTGTGCCTCACAAAATATTTAAAGTAATTGAAGATTCATGACAGGCAGGCAAATAGCATTTCGTGAAGCTGAGGTGAGCAATGGCAACTTTTTTTTTCTCATTACAGGGTAGTCTCGTTTAGGTTAATATAAATGAGTCTTATTTTAAGATGAAAGGTTGTTTAACAATCTTAGGTGCTACACAGATATGTGGAACCCAAAAAAAAGATTTATCAACACAATGTATAAACATATGCTACAGTAGTTAACACATCCAATCCCTTACATCGTTTTCCAATTAAAGCTGTCGTGTCCTTACTAAGACCACAAAACAAGGTCCCACTAATAGGACATCAAAAAATGTTCAAGTGGAAAACACACAATCATAACAAAATATGTATACTATAAATATATCCAGAAATATAAAAATTCCTAAAAAAAAACTATCTACATTTACCCCATTCCCCCAAGGAAACAATTACACAAGCAACTTCCCCCTCCCCTTAAAAAGTGTAATGGCTCAATGGGGTTCCAAAAATAAACATGAAATCCATCATCCTGTATAACAAAATATAAAGTGCAAATGTAGAGACTAGCGTTTCCTTAATAGCAAATATAAGTCCCAAATCCAGGTATCCAAGCAGCAAATAATCAATGTAATGAGATTAAGCAAATGGCCATTTCAAAACCATAGATGGTATAGATGAAGGTGAGTTGTATCCACCAAAGTACACATCCAATGTGATAATAATGTTCATGTCTCAAATGGTGAGGGAACTGTGCGTCCTGAGTTACTTGCAGGATACAGTCCATATACCCATCGCACTCGAAACCGCTGTTCCATAAATGTTAAGTGGGTGCAATGGCTGTCGACGGATAGTCCCCGACACTCCAATGGCAAATCTAATACGTCTATTTATTGACGTAAATGCAACATGGCAAAGTACACTCAGTGCGACGTTTCGGGGTCTCACATGATCCCCTTCATCAGGCAGAACAAGTGATTCACTTGTTTTGCCTGATGAAGGGGATCCTGTGAGACCCTGAAACGCACTGACTGTACTTTGCCATGCTGCAGTTACGTCAATAAATAGCCGTATTAGATTTGCCATTGGAGTGCCGGTGTCCTTATTTCTACCTTGCTACACAGTATTTGCCACCAATATCCTGGTATTAGTTAATTGTAATCCAGCTACATGGAAGTGTACTGATCTTGTAGATGTGATGTTTTGATAGATACATCATTTCACTGTAATCCACTGTACGAAAGTTATATCCACTAGAGTGCACATCTGATGTGATAACAATGTTCATGTCTCAAATGGTGAGAAAACTGTGCGTCCTGAGCTACTTGTAAATGCAAGCCCCTGCTACACAGTATTAACCACCAATATCCTTAAATTATTTGTAAGCCAGCTCCATGGAGGCATGCTGATCTTCTAGATATGATGTTATGATGGGCACATCATTTCACTGTAATCCAGGCACACATCACTGTGTATCTTGCTGAACTAGTCTTGCCAAAAAGCACAATATAGCACATAGATCAAATAGATAAAGATTGGATCTCACCAATACCGTTCATCCTCTGTGGATGTATGATATACAGTATATGGAGTGTTTTATACTGCAGAGATAAACGCTGCTGGAGATCAATTCAAATTGTCCAAACATACAGATTCACTTAAGGTGAATGTCTGTGTTTATGAAACAAATAGGAAGAGTACCAACATGAAGGCTTCCCTCAGGGATAAAATAGCAGTTGACTGGTAAAATCCATCTGTCAATTATTCTTCATCCAAGCAGGCCTAACTAGGGAATGTTGAGGACGACTTGCAGACAGTAGATTGTTCCAAAATCCGATTAAACGACCTGTTTAGGTTACCAACTTCTTGTTTGTAGACCCTTTTAAGTGTTTTAAGATTCTGGTAAATACCTAGCCAGTTAACATCCACCCAGACTGAAATCTCTGTTTTGAAGCTACTAAGCTAATGTGTAATTCTTCTTTTTGTTTTTTAGCACTTGGGCGTGCTATTCACTCCCTCTCAAGAATTGGCGAAGAGCTATATTTTGAGCCTTTAGATGATGGGGTAAGAAGTGCATAGATAGGAAGAGCATCCATGTGAACCACAGTACAAGGCTTTGGAGCTATGTATGACTTTTAGCAACTTTTTAGTGTGAGCACAGTGCTTGCCTATACATTAAGGTGACTCTGTTGCTTAAATAAGTGATATTAAAATCAAAACAAAGTTTACGCCATTTCAAATACTGATTAAATCCCTTACAATGGATGCTGTTCCTGATGTTTAAAAGTTTTAGCCTGATGTAGAATCCGCTGGTCCCCTGAGCACTGGCCCTGTTATCCTGTTTTAGGGTGGCTCCTTTCCCTTGCAGCGTATAGCTTGCAAAGACTGTTAATACTTGCTTCTCCTACTTCCTGCACAGCTGAATAAGCTCTGATGAATTCCACTTTGTTCCACAAAGTCTTTTTGGAAACGTAGTGCTCTGTGGTTCCTCCTCCTGACCCCTTCTGTTCCTTGTAGTGTTATAGGGGTTGCAGTGAGCATAAGCAGGTGGATAGGAAAATATTTACAGTCTTCTTGGCATGGTTGTTGTGCTTTTATTTTTATTGCGTGCTTAGCTTATCTTGGGAAATATATTAATCGCCTCTAATGAAACTTTCTCTCATTATGTCATTAGCTCTGCCTGCGTTCAGTGAACTCTTCAAGGTCGGCTTATGCCTGCTTCAATTTTACGCCACTCTTCTTCCACAGCTTTGAGGTCACTGGCGAATCATGCCACTGCAAAATCTACATGAAGGTAATCGTAGTCCAAAAAAGTTCACACGTAAAACAGGGGTAACAACTTACACTATTGGTGGAAAAGGCCACATATATACAGTCTGATAATCACTAGTAATGTGATCTCCGTATAGTCAAAGTTAATCAGGTAATGTTGGGGTAAACATGTGAGCTTCTCAAGCGCTTGCATAAACATCCGAAAACACTTTTCCAGCACAGAAGAGTCTGTGCTATAATAAAACTAATTTGTTCCTGTTTTTCTCACTTCTTCACAACTGCAGTGGATGGACAATTTTATACAGGGCCTGTATGGCTTTCAAAAGCATTCCTTAGTTATTTAATATGCACTGACCACTGTGGGGAATCATGTGCCTTCAGTAACTTGGGCATCCAAGACATCAGCCACTACTTGGGACGAAGCATATTTGAAGAGTGTGCTAACAAGGACACTTCTCACTGCCCATTGCAACCATTTAAGATTTTGAATTGAATTTCTTCAGTTTGACATTAAAAATGAAACAAGGAATCTGGTTGCTATGAGCTACAAAATATTTTTTTTTTCTTTTTGTATTAAAGTCACTTTAATGCCTTTTTCCTTCCTTCTACTCTTGATAGTCCGTGATCAGTGTTTTCCGCTCTTTGCCGTCACTGGAGAAGACTGTGGAGAAATGCCTTATAAGCCTGAACACCAACAGTAGTCGTTTGGTGATCCAGCTGTTTTGCAAATATGGTGAGTGTATGGGAGATTTGGGCTTTTCTATTTTATGCTTGGTTTATTGATATTTGTGGCAAAGATATGTCAAGAGTAGTGCAAGACTGAGGCAGCTTGTGCATCCTTGGCAGGTCGTCTTTAACTATTTTTATTTTTTTAACTGTGTGATGCTCACTTCTGTGCAAGTGGTCAAGGAATATAGCTGGCAAGTGTAGCTTCAGTTATTGTAGCCCCAGCTTCCTTAAGACAAGCAGGCCTACCAGTACTTGATTTCCCCCCAATTCTGTATTCTCTAGCCAAGCTACACTAATGGCAAGTAAGCAACAGAGAAAGCACCTGTGATACTACAGAAGATGGAGATGATTGGTTGCCTCAAGGTGCGTTGTTAATGGCAATATGGCAGTTCAAGGTGGAACAGATGAATGGACCAATAGTAGAGACAAAGTTGGTGAGGATGCCTGGTAGTGGGGGACCTCTAAGTCGGGGTAGAGCCAGGCACCTGGTAAGGCATAGTAGGTAAACGTGAGCAGAGGTCAGTCCATGCGGCAGGCAAAACTGGGTCAGTAATCTAACAAGAGGTTGGTGCAGATGGCAGGCAAAGGGTCAGTCCAGGCAGAAAGCAAGAGAGGTGGTCATTAAGCAGGCAAAGAGTCAGGTAACAGGCAAGTCATAATTCAGTGTACATCAATCATACCTAGTGATACATGGATACACCTACCACAAGCACTGGGTGCATGTGTGCGTGTGTGTATATATAAGGTGCTGTTTGGGGGGGTTTAGGGGACCAATGAGAGGCAAGAATGGTGGAGCAAGCTGCAGTCGCGTTGCCTGGGAAACAGTACATCACAGCCAATAGGAGGCAAGAAAGAAGGCAACAGCGAAGTAGCCGAGAGAGAACAGCACCAAGTCGCACAAGCATGAGGATCAGCAGAAGTGTGCCAGAAAGCATAACCGGCAACTGGGAGTTTTAGCTGAACAAGCAAAACCACACAGATATGACTCGCTTTATTGCGTAGCCCAGCATGTTACAAACATCACGTTAGCAGGGTTTTTTTAGACCTCGTAGGCACAGGAGCCAGGTTAAGAACTTGGAAGTCAGATCATTTAAATTGAGTATCCAGAGTAAAAGCAATTAAAATCTCAACATGTTTTGGAGCAAACAACGCTTTCCAAAAATACTCCATAAAAAAATGTTTCCTAACGTGTTGTTCTACTCTCTTTATGCCCTTTATCCAGTCTTTGTCAACTATGTTCCATAGACAAAAGACTCTTCCATCGAGGTAAAAAAAAAAAATTTGCATCCTCAGAACCCTAAACCTGAAGAGAGGCAGAAATCCTTATAAAGTGTGGGGGAAAGTCCTTTTCCCCCACACTTTCTGATCCCTAGGCAATCTCCTAGGAGTACAGTGCTATCACTTATAAATATTACTGGCCAGATATACTTTGTGCATTTAAAAACACACCCTGCCTTTTTTTTTCTTCTAATCAGTCTGCAAGGTTGGCTAGAACTAGCTGCACAGAAACCATTCCATATGCAGAATTTGACTCTTTTCCTACAGGCACAAAGAGTGCCCCTTGTGATTTGCAATGCCTTTGCACATAGTTTACTATATTTACCATTTACCTTTTGTGGTCATCCTTTTTTTTTTTTCCTGTATACACTGCTCTGCTGCACTAAAGGTTCTGTGTGTGTATGAGGCCTAATACTAATTTCTTAATGTTTCAGGAGTAACAAAGACACACAACCTATCATATCAGGACTGTGAGTCTCTTCAAGCTGTATACAATCCAGACAGCTGCCCAAATGTGCTCAGAGCACCAGCCAGGTGAATACATTAAATGTGATTTTTTTTTTTTTTGTCATTACCATATAAAATAGACACAGTAATCTTATTATATTGAACGTTTCTAGAATACTAGGCCGTGCGTGGTCAGGAGTGTGAACACAGTTTCACTTTATTTTATCTTGCTAGAATGCCATTCCACATAAATCCAGTGTAACGCTCATGATCTTGCTAAAATGTATGTATGCATGATCTCTTGAATTGTACATGTATCGTAATATTTAGGAATGCACCAATATAGATTATATTTTTCTTTGATTAGCTTCTAGCTAAATAGCAAAAAGCCAGTAACTTTGGTAATCTACTCCAAGATCTGGAAGATGTTCTTCATCTTCAATCTTAAGAAAAATGAATTGTCTTCAAACCAATAGTGCTAACATCTTGGTTTTTCTGCAGCTAGGCTTAATAGCTAAAGGTCAACATTGCAGCCCTGAGCACCTTTTTCAAGGCTTCTGTTTCAGTGCATCAATAATCATGACTTACTCAATGTCTGTTCAAAAATACAGAGAGATGCCTTGTAGGATTTGAATTTGGGTGCTAAGTGCTTGTCCTTCAAGAGCCTTTTTTTCAAATTACAACATGAAATAGGTCAAATACAGGTTAAATGTGCCTACATTAAATTCTAAATTATCTCAAGCATCCCATGCTGATGTAATAAGCTGCATTTGCCATCAACAGAGGCCCTATTAATAGTTAGCAAGTTTTTAGATTTTGATGACTGGGTCAGTTTAAATTCCCATAATCTCTTGCATGCCAGCCAAAATGTTAAATTGTCTGCCCAGCGGGGTTCTCTACACTGATTGCTAAAACTCTTAATTTCAGATTTTTCCTAAGATCTCAGAAATTCTTGTATCAAGTGGCAGGCCAGTGACAACAATGAGAATAAATGGAAAGTTTAAACAATGCAGTTTTGCTTTTAAGATCAAGGGCTTGTTGACACCATGTCTGTTAAGCTGTGTTTTTCTGCATGCCCGCGCACATGTATGGTGCATGTACAGGGCACACCGAAACCAAATATATCATAAATGTTTAATGGTGTCCAGAAAAACACAGCTCAACGGTCATGGTGTGAACAAACCCTAAGGAAGCTTTATACACTCACTGGCCGCTTTATTAGGTACACCTCTTCAACTAATCGTTAACAGAAATATCTAATCAGCCAATCACATGGCAGTAACTCAATACATTTAGGCATGTAGACATGGTCAAGATGGTCTGCTGAAGCATTAGAATGGGGAAGAAAGGTGATTTAAGTGACTTGAACATGGCAAGGTTGTTGGTGCTGGTCAGGCTGGTTTGAGTATTTCAGCAACTGCTGATCTACTGGGATTTTCATACACAACCATTTCTAGGGTTTACAGAGAATGGTGTGAAAAAGAGAAAATATCCAGTAAACAGCAGCTCTCTGGGCAAGAACACCTTGTTGATGTCAGAGGAGAATGGCCAGACTGGTTCAAGCTGATAGAAAGGCAACAGTAACGCAAATGACCACTCGTTACATCCGAGGTATGCAGAAGAGCATCTCTGAACACACAACACATTGAACCTTGAAGCAGATGGGCTACAGCCACAGAAGTCCACACCGAGTGCCACTTCTGTCACATAAGAACAGGAAACTGAGGCTACAGTTTGCAAGGGCTCACCAAAATTGTAAAATAGAATATTGGAAAAACGTGAAAGCATGGATCCACCCGGCCTCGTATCAACGGTTCAGGCTTGTGGAGCTTTGCATCATGGATGTGCAGCCGACAAATCTGCAGCAACTGTGTGATGCCATCGTGTCAGTATGGACCAAACCTTTTAAGGAATGTTTCCATCACCTTGTTGAATCAATGCCACAAAGAATTAAAGCAGTTCTGAAGACAAAAGTGGTCCAAACCAGTACTAGCAAGGTGTACCTAATAAAGTGGCCAGTGAGTGTATATTATTGATGCAAAAAGACAGTGATGGCTAGAACTGGCTCAATCATTGCCCTAATAACCTATTGAAACGCAGGATTATTTTCTGATGACCATTTCTGTTGAATAGTGGGAGAAAAAAAAATAGCTTGTGGCAAATATGGGTAAAACAATATTAGTATCGGAAATAAATGGAATATGTTACAGTTCTGCTTCATGGTTGCTGTTTTTTCTGCAAGCTTGCTATTTATAATTTACTGGCATTCTCCTCTTTAGGCTGCTTTCAGATGCTGTTGTGCATTTTCCATTGACACTTGCAGAGGTGACACTGATGGCCAGTCCTTGTGGAAAAGTCACACTTAAGAACTATGTGGAGGATGAAGTAGGTAAGATGTCTTGTCTTATCTTTACAAGGGTAGTTCAGAGGCAAGTGCATTTATAACCACTCTTTCTAGGTGAGTCATGACAAGTTTTTAAAATAGAAGGAAATTCCTTTAATGCTTGGAGACCTTAGTATTCCGACAGAAGCTCTGTTTTCACTCCTATACTCTTTATTGTGCAGGTGGAATTATGGGGAAGTAGGATCTGTGATGCTAGACATTTCTACTGTGATGCTGGCCATACACTGCTCTATTTTTCTTGTTCAACCCACGGGCTGGACAAAATAAAATAGAGCAGATTCCTCCATCAATGCTACAAGCACATTGATCGAGAAATCCCTGCTGTCCCTTTTTGTATTCTGACAGCGGCCGCCAGCCCCTGTCAGAATACCTGAACAGACCCAGCAGCTCATCAGCTGTTGACTCTGTACATTCGAAGATTTTCTGATTGGCTCCTTTGATTTCTGATCAAGGGATCAAGAACCGGGCAAAATTCACACAGTGTATGGCCACCTTAAGGCAGGAGGTGACGGGCCCCTTTGCTTTTGAATGCTTCTCGGGTGCACACTGTGGGAGAAAAGAGGAGAGGCGAATTGAGTTACTGAGGGCTATGGGCTCCTCTAAAGGTGCCCATACACCTTACGACCATCGCAAGACTTTTTTGTCTTGCGATGGTCGTATGCTCATTAAAAGCCCGTACGATCTGCCCACCTTGGACGGGCAGATCGTACTTGCGATCATCGGAAGCCCGCCCGTTGACGGCAATGCAGAACGGGCAGTGTGCGTGTGCGCACACCGGCCCGTTCCGCAGCTATCGGGCTAGCAGGCTAGAAACCCGCCCGGAAGGCTAGAAACCCGCCGAGAATCGTACGATTCTCGGCTGGTTTTCAAGCATGTTGGCTCGACAAAAGACGTGCGACCGTACAGTAGAAACGGTCGCACGTCTTAGTTCACACTGCTCGATTCTCGTACGATCGCGGGATTTCGCCCGATTCTCGTACGAGAATCGGGCAGTGTACGGGCACCTTTAGGCAGGAATGTAGAGTTCACCTAACTGGCACGGAATAGTCAGTGTGCATCTAACAGGATCATTTGAGGGTTTAAAACACTTAGAATGATCACAATCATGCATGCATGGTTCACTTACAGTAATACAACAAGAAAAAGATTAGCTGACCTAGTGTAAAGCTGCCATACACTCCTATTTTTTTTTCATTCAACCTCCGGCTGAATGAAATAGAGCAGATTCCTCCAACGCTCGGGAAGAACAGCGGCACCCAAAATTCACAACCTTATGTGCCAGCATAGCCTAGGGGCCTCTCATATTCATACCTGAAAGATGTAAAAGCCGGGTACCTGTAACAGTAAGGGGTGAAGACTGACAAAGCAGCATAGAGGCATTGTTTTACAACATCTTATGAGCTGAGGTAAGCAAAAGTATACTAACTCACCAGGCTCCATTATACCCTAAACAAAATTACATTAGCAGTTTCGTGTGGAGGGTGACTTGAAATATGACCACCCCACCCCCCTAAGATTCTGGAACAATAAAGTTTATATGACCTTTCACATTTATTGTGAAGCAAGGATTGCGTTCTTTGCCTGACTTGCCAGGGGTGGTGCAGCATTTATTAGCTTTCGCACTCCACACTGCAGTTCTAGCCATGTGCATCTTATAAGCTGGAAATTGGGTCTAACGAGAGCATAATAAAGCCTGCTGGGCACTTACATCAGTGGTGAATACAGAGCAATGAGCTCAACACATACAGTATACAGGATTAGGAGTGAGGCACATTAAATCCAGTAAATCCTATGGTGGCCTCAGGCACAAAATGTGATGTCCATTTTAAACAAGATGTGATGTGATATATAGATTGTGTTGGTGTTTTTTTGCGGGATTTTCATGTCTTTAAAAAAAAAAAATCTTAAACTGTTTGTGTCATGCCCCCATTAACTAAATTAATGTAGTTGATGTCGAAAATCAATTTATCAAGAAAATAGGATTTGTGCACTTGTGTTTATATCTAATTAAATTCAAACCAAAACGTGGAAAAAAAAAATAAAGCAAATCTCCATTAATGCAAACGGGGCTCTGTCTACTCTATTTCTGTGTCAGCTATGCATTCAGTCTAAATAAAGAACTGGAATAGCTGGGCTGAAAAAACAGCTGTGCTATAATCAACAATACCACTATTTTCAAATGAAGAGCTAGTAAAAATCTTCTATTAAAGTGGTCAATCAACACTTCTGTGTACATTCACTGGCAGAGTATTTAATATGCTAACCCAACCTTCACAAATTACATTTCTGCTTTAATATAGGGCTGTGGAAATTAAAGATTAATTTCTCGATTAAACTTTTTGATCGATTAAAATTATTTTGATTGCTAGTGAAAACACTCACCTCTCTGCCGGCTTCCAGGAGTCCCGTCGGCGATCCATCGACGTCAACGGACTCCTCCCCCCTTCGTTAGCCGACGGAGCCACTTGGGCCGGTGAGTTTGCCCAAGAAACTTTCTGCACGAGCGTCAGCCAAGGCATTGGCCTATACACATACAGCACAGCAATGAAGTAATAAAATGAACTAGGATCACACTAATCCAGCACGTTATTATTCTGATTTGCCCCACTGAAGCGGCGGCCATATTGAGCGGGGCACGTGAGATTAATGTGTGTGTGTATAGGCCAATGTAGTTGGATCTGTATGTGCTTTATAATTAAAATTTAATTGATTAATCAATTTTTAAAAAAATTGATCGAACACGAACATTTTAATCATTACCAGCCCTACTTTAATAAGTTACTGCCTTTGACCTGTTTAGCTAAGAAATTGTTGGGAAACCTGTGAATCATAGAATGTATTATAAAGTGTTTTCAGTGTTGTGTTGTACAAGTTCTACAATAATAATGGGTTTTGTTATGTGGTCTTTTTTTGTAGATGCAAACGTTTTATAAAAGCACTTTAACCCCTTCGTGACGGGAGACGTACAGTGTACGTCCTGTCACTTTGTGCCTATATGACTGGCCACAGTTTTTTTTTTTCCCTAATTTTTTTTATTTTATTCAAACTAAGTGAGGGGTTAGGTACACATATGTGATATAATTATATAGCCCTATCTGTCCTCTAAAAAACTATATATAATATGTGTGGGTACATTTAGTAAGAAAGTATATTACTGCTGTGGAAGAATCACACAGCAAAAATGTAAAAAATGTGTCAGTCATTTATGAACAGAACCTGAAAACTAGCTCAGTCATGAAGGGGTTAAAGGAAACATGTAATAAGAGAAATATGTGGGCAGCATTGTTCTGAAAAAGCTAGTTCCCTGGCTGAGTTGGTGATCTGGAACAAGTGAGCAACAAATTAAGTCATAACGAAGTCTCTTGATCATTCATACTTGTCCAGAGTCAAGGGGTCAAGTATTAAAAGCAAGTCGGTCAGCATGACCTCAAGCAGCCTGACATTTCAAACGTTTTAGCAACGGCAGCTCGATATTTCTCTTTGCCCATGCATCTTTTAAAGAAAACCGCGCACAGAATTTGTTATTTCCTTTTGCTGGCCATCAAGAAGATGGTTTCAGTATACTGGCACAGCATAGAAGAGCAAAACTCTCTGGTCGGGATCCGGCAGTATACCTACATCTAAAGGAAAAAGGTCACTCCTTTGAAGACGGTCAAGTACGCATCCTAGACCGGGAGGAGGACTAGTTTAAAAGAGGTGTAAAGAGGCCATTCATGTAAAAATGGAGAAGCCAAGCTTGAATAGGGGGGGCGGCGGCATCTATTGTCTGCCTCATACAATGCTGTTTTAATTAATAAACCTCCTAGACTCCAATTATGCACCTGTGACTACCAGATTATGTGGATTGGAGCAACATTCACCATATATAATCCTAGATAATTTTTCTATAAGTCATTCTGATTTGAGAAAGCTGGTCGGATGTCCAGTGAAATGTCTTCAAGAAAAATACAGCAAGTCCAGTTGCCTTGACTTATTTTTTTACAGATAAGCTAATTAAGGGGCTGGAGGATCAAAGCTATGAGACAAGTTTGCTAAATTTAAACTACTTCACGCTGTAGGTTAGGGGATTAAGAGGGAACATGATTTTGATGTACAAGATGTTCAGTGGTGATGGTAACATCAGCACTAAACTTTTTATTGTAAGTTCCCTAACAAAGAGGGAGGCCACCACCTAAAATTGGTGGAGAAAAGATTTAACCACAAAGGGTGTAGGGGCTTCTTTTCCGTTAGAGAGGTTACATTTTGGAACTCTGTGCCACAAGCAGTGGTAGTATTATTATACAGGATTTATATAGCGGCAACAGTTTGTGCAGCGCCTTACAATATAAGGAAGACATTACAATCGCAATACAATTCAAGACAAGATGGTAAGGAGGGCCCTACCCGTGAGGGCTTGCCTACAAAGAATATTGATTAGTTCAAAAATCAATAAGATACCATCCTAAGAGACCATAATGTACAGGTACAGGGGTCTTACAGGATACAGGGGTCTTAAATACTAGACCACACAGGGACTTGATGGACCTGTCTTTTTTTTCAACCTCAAATACCATGTAACCTTTGCAGTGGGGCTACTGCCAGACTGCAAGGGTTAAATGCTTGTTTTGTCTAGGGAGATAAAATAACATATACTCACTCGAACCTCAGTCCTGCCTGACTGCTAGACCAGTCCCTGCAGCCTCTGCTCCATCGGTCAAAAATCCCTTGTCAATACAGTGTATTGACTCGCTGGCCCTTAGACTGCCAGAGCGGAGGAGGAGAGGGGCTGCAGAAAAAACGGACTAGCAGCCAGGTGGGATTGAGGTTCAGTTGAGTAAGTTTTTGGTATTTTAGCTCTCTGCAAGGGTTAATTTAGTTTCTACCTGTAATTTTTTTTTTTTTTTCGTCTCTAAGCTTGGCTTAAGGGATGATTTTTTAATAGATTGCAGCAAAGTAGCTGCTCTGCTACACACGAAACCCTGACCCAGAATCAGTTAGTCTACGAATGATTAAGCACCGGGTTCCCAACGAACATGTGATGCGCTCCGGGAGAGAGGTGGCCTGCTTTCGTCCTCTTTTCTCTCCCGAGGCAAGCGGCGGTACGCGCCAGCCCATGGAGTTTTTTTTTAAAACCATTAACAAGGCCTGTTGTATAACAGTGTTTGTATTATTCCTACTGTTCTTGCTATTTATTTATTTTCTTGTTCAGATCCCAGCAAGGCGATGCTGACAGAGTTGTCCCTGAGCAGGGAGGAATTCCTGGTCTATCAGCTCCAGAAGCAGAGTCAGATCACATTTTGTTTGCGTGAGTTCAGGGTAAGAAGGCCTTCAAACATATTCCCACAATGGGGGAAGTTCTTAGAGTATCTACAAAACACTTTAGAATTCTGTCATGCATCCACACAACAAATGTCGGTGCTTGCTCCAAATTCATGTACCTGTTAGGAAAAAGATGCAGGAATTTGGCAGAAACACAACCACTTTCCGTGTGGAGGTGAACTGAGCCTGGAGTGTCCACATTGGACGCTCCACCTTTAGTGCAGCTCAGCAACACTGATCCTGATAAAATCACAGGATCAGCGTTCATGATCTTTCAGCTCAGCCATTGCACCTGTCACACAAACAGACAAAGCGGCCAGAGACTTATACATAGCCGGAGCCTGATGGGGGTGTTGAGGAACTACTAGGTCCACTCTGCTGTTGATTGACAGCAGGCAGTGGGCAAATTCTGTAGCCAGTAGCAGGCTGGCTTTGGCTATATATTTCGCCCACTGCCTGCTGTCAAGTTCCAGAGCGGACCTGATGGGGCACTGGTATGCAGCATCCACATCATGCTCTGCCACTTGTAGAGTCACTGCTCTGTTAACAACCAGTGCTTCTCACAGTGGGGTCAGAGCCCGATGGGAATGCTGAAGTAACGGTTACCCATCAGGTCCCCTGTGCTACTGATTGACAGCGAGCTGTGTGTGGATTCTTTGACAGCTTTCCAGTATATACATGTCCCACTCTGAGCACTGGTGTCTCTCTGTATGCCAGATTAGGGCTGGTTTTAATTACCGCCTGTTTTCTAATCTGTAAACTGGTGGGAATTTTTTAAAAATCTGTTGCAGCCATGCAAAAGATTATTTAATTGGCAGTATTAAGAACTAGAATCTGTCACGAGTAGCAGTAAAGCTACTGAAACTGGCAACAAGGCTTTTTTTAAAACCTTTTTTAAAGGTCCAGTAATTCCTAATTACCACTTAACTTTTCACTGCAGTTTGACTTAGGAGGCTGGCCTGTCATTGCTTAGAGTACTGTTATGCTTATTATTGTGATTATTATTACTGGTATTTTAATATAATTTTTCAACAAAGTTTTAAGCAAGTATATTGAAATGAAACCCTCCACCACAACAGCAGCTGTCTGAGAGCTGGCCATGGCACTAGGAACAAGCAGAGTTGTTTTATATGTGTTCTTAAATAAACAACATTTTAATTTTTGTAGTTGGTGGGCAATCCAACACAGTGGCCTCCACATTGTTCAGGTCCTGTGTGGAGACTAAGCTTGCTAGACAGTCATTCTGTAGGGTAGGGAAGAGATTGGTTGTTGTGTTTTGGTGCTCCCATTTGTGGTAGTGGCGCCATTATGGGCCTATGAGCACTTGCTGGAGAGCGGTACAATGAGGTGAAAAGTACTTTTGTACTTCCACTGTTTTTTTGTCTACTGGCTGTACCTCTGCTTTTTCCTCTATTTTGGCATGCAGACCTGCAGGTGTGTAAGGCACAATTAGCCGTTCAATATCCCAGTTGGTTGCAGTGCTCCGAGTTAAGCTGGCCATACACCTTACAATTATCTGCAGATTTTCTGTGGTCAGATGGAAAAGGTGCAACAGATTCCTCCATCTACACTTAACTGTGTGGATCGAGGTATCTCCACCTGGGCCAATCTGTTGCACTTTTTCCATCTGACAAGAAAATCTGCAGATAACTGTAAGGTGTATGGGCACCTTTTAGAGCAGCTTCACTTTACCTTTTCTCGGCCACTTATCCCCAATACCCCATTATATTAGTTTTCATTGGGCACGCATGTATTGCCTATACCTGTAGAGGTCCCAGGAGTGAAGTTGTCTCTACAATAGTTTGTCTCCTACCATAATGCTCTTGCAGAGGTATCGCTGTGCTGCAGTTTGCTTTTTTATGTATTCTTCAGTATAGCGATTTCCGTTGGGACAGGAGGGCAGCATCCTATGGTCCAGTTTGGCAGAACCACATAAAACAAAAATATCAGTTTTTGGTAGAGCTGGCTTTTTTTAAATCTGTCATGTAATATAAAAAACATAACCATGTTTGTTTACCCACAGGGTCTCCTTGGTTTTGCAGAGTCCAGTTGCCTCCCCATCTCGATACACTTTGATAGTGCTGGCTGGTGAGTCATTGTACATTATGATAGAAGTATGGCAGCTGCTGTTGTTGACTTGTTTTTGAAAGTGCAATATCTTAGGTTATTGTCCTTATTCTTGCTTCTTTCATTATTGCCCTGAAACAAGTGCATGGCTAGGCAGGTAGCAAGACACTTGACATGCACACTTTGTTCAAGGTCAGTGACTGACTAGGTAGTGATGCAAGGATATGGCCCAGACTTCGAAAATTGGTTGGTAATGTGAGCTTTCTTTTTCCTGTTCAGGTTAACTTTTTATTCACTTAAAATCTCGGCTCTTCCTTTGCGCTATTATAGCATAGGCACATCACTGCAATCTACAAGTTGGGACCCAATCCTCTACAAAAGTCCCTCAATCATTGTACATTGCACTGTGGGATATCACGCCTTTGCTTCAACTGTCTGGATGTCTGAAAATCCATAGGTTGTTTTGGGCTCTTAGAATTCACTATTAGGATTAGCATTATAAAAAAAAAAGTTTTAACAGTACCTGCTGATCCATGTTCTTCGTCCAAAGTGTTGTATTCATTTTAACCAGTTTCTGATTATCAGTTGTTGAAAAACTGTATGAAGATTTCAGAAGCGCAGTGCAAAACAGCAGATTAGTTGGGCAACTGACATGGCAACATTTCCTGGCACTTCCTACATAAAATGATTAAGACTATAGTTTTCCTTTTAATGTCTTATAAGAAAAAAGTTGTGGGAACCAGAACAATACTTCTTTTCATTACTTTGCTTTAAAAAAAAAAAAAAGAATCTCTCTGTTTGTGTGTACCTACCCGTATCGGTTATATTTAAGCTGTCACTATATCATAAATGACAGGCAGGTCATTTGGTTTGCAATTGACCAGACTCAATACTTTTAATACTTTTACCACACAGCAAGGATGCCAGCCCTTCACACTCTGCAATAGGTCGAGGAGTCCTCATTTAAAGATTAAGTTGTAACTATGGATGCACCGATACCGGTATTTCTGTAGCGAATACAAGTTGCAATATTTTATCTTCGGTACTCGCCAATGCCGAGTAGCGATACTGGTACTTCCGCTAGCATGGAGCCAGCATTCGGGCCAATCAGGAAGCCGGGCGGAGTGTCATTACCTGCTGCCCAGCTTCTTCAATTGCCCGGGAAGCCGGCTCCATGCTGTTTGGCTGGCTCGATGCTGGTTGGGTGGGAAGTCGGGTTCCAGGCTAATCAACATCGACAGCACTCGCACGTCATGACTTAAAAGAAGATTGCCTAACCCCCCAGGACTCGCAACTACATCCTTAAAGGAGAACTATGGGGTTAGGGCTTTTCCCCATAGTTCTCCTAAGGGTAACTGGAGGACACAAACTAGCGCCCTCCCGTCACCCAAAGCTCAGTATACCGCGAGCTATAGCTTGCGGTATACTGAGACACTGGGGCTGAAGCGGATCCCAATAATTATGTCTGGATCCGCCCAGCTGCGTAAGTGACAGCTGGCTCTGCCTATCTAGAGGCAGAGCCAGCTGTACCTGCCTCCTCCCCCGTCCGTTCCGCCAGTCAACGCTGGAGGATCGGAGGGGAATCATGTCCCTCCCCTGTCACGGCTCTTTGCAGTGACAGGATCAAGAAGTGAGCGAGCGCCGGTTGTGTTCGCTCACTTCCCGATCTACTGAGCCGACCTATGACAGTTTCAATCACTCACCTCATAGTTCTCCTTTTAAGCTTTTTCTCTCGACCAAGGCTGTAACCATAGATCATACAGCATGCATCAGTTAATACAATATATAAATACTTCTAAAGCATTAATTTAATTTATAATACCTATTTATGTACCCTTTCCATGTGAACTACACTGCCCCCAGTTCATATCACTCTCGCTGTGAAAATGAGCTGTCTCACTTATAATAATATTACCATGAACACTGTTACAGTCCCTGGTTCCATTCACACAAACTTCTTCAAGAAACACCTGCCTCATCTCAACAGTGTCTCCTATTCCCACCACCAACTACATTTTCATGAAAAAGCTAAAGTGTTTTGAAAAAGTAATAAGTGATACCTCAGAATGATTGGCCTTGTGATGGCTATGATGACCAGATAACAAGCCACATCTTCCACCAGTCAATCCTTTCCACAGGTTATTAAAAAATGCGATGTCAACAAGAATATTCTTGAGCTGGAGAGGCAAACCAGTCTAACATGTGGACAAAAAGTAAGTAGTGACTGTGAATCCCTCTCTTAAAAGACGTTAAGGCCCCATTCACACCTGACCGTTTTGTAGCGCGTCCTACGCTCGATGAACGCTCTACAAAACGGTCAAAAAAATAAATAGCATTGTAGTCAATGGTATCGTTCCCACCTGTCCGTATTTCCGCCCGTCCCGAACGCACTACAAAACGGCCCACGCATGAAAAGGTCCCGGAGCGTTTTTTGCTGCGTATTGGTCCGTTTTGTAGGGCGTTTTCCATTTGTATCCTGCCAAGTAGCCTTTGGAATCGCGCAACTTTTTTACCGCGAATCGCGGTAAAAAAAACGCGTGACGGTCGCGCGACAGACGCGCATATTACAATACGCATAGGTGTGAATGGGGCCTTAAACGGGAATAATCCATAGATGAGCAGTACACCCCTTTCTTTTTTTGGAAGGGATGAAGAAGTGTTATATAAATAAAACCACAGTAATTGTATCTATTTTTCTGTGACAAAACAGAAAATATGGGCCTAACAGTATGATACAGCATTGTGTGTCAAACAAATGCCCAGGTAATTCCTACAAAATTTGATAAAGGTTTCTTTTCTAATCGGTGTGAAGCTGTGTTTTGGTCCAAAGAAGCATCTCAAAACAGAGGTATCCATTTCTAATCCACGCTAAAAAGATATTTCTGTTCTGCAGCTAATATTTTGAATCGACTCATTTGTAGGCTAAAATGCTCTCCTTGTGAAAGGACAATTGTACCCTCACCCAACTCGGTGAATGCTGCCTGATTGCCTTCCTCCCTGCTCCCAATAGCCTCAGTGTGAGGCCCTACCCAGATGCCCAAGGCTTGAATAGAGCCTCACTCCCTATAGCTCTATTCATTCCACTGTATAAGCCTCCAGTCATCCAGTTGAATAATGCTTATCCATAGGAACAAAGGGGGCTGCAGTGCCCTGGGCAGGACCGCACATATAAGATCTCAGGAGTGCGGAGTGAGGAAAGTATTTTACTAGGAGAATTTAAAGGACAACTTTACTAAAGTTGTTGTGATGAAAATCTTGCAGATTAAAGACGGAGTTTGTCTGTTTTCTAGCTCTGCTGTTAGGTTTCATATGATAAATAGTAGTTACATAGTCAGGTTGAGAAAAGACACATCGAGTTCAACCTATAGAGAGATAAATAAGATAAATTAAATGAGGAAATGTTTTTTAAAGGTGTAGTTATCGTTTAAACATTATGTCATTGTTTCCTACATTAGCTATTCTCTGGTTCACTTATCAATTTGGCATTTCACCTTGTTTTTTTTATTTATGTATCTTCTTTCCATGAAAAGGAGTGATCAATAGTGATTACTGTGCCTAGAGATGTTAGATTAGTCTCTGGCCATTACTGGCTGGATAGGGCAACAATCTAATGTCTATGAGCCACATGCAAGTACTGCCAATTGAAGTTCATGGGAGGGAATAATGATTGGCTTACTGATGGTTTTCCCTTATAATTTGGTAAAGGTGTCCTTGGCACTTAGCAATGCCCTACTTTATAGATATATTCACAAAAAGTCACCCGGTGTGATCCTTCATATATAGGGTGCACTGGTTGGTAGAGATGCCAGGAGTGCGAAAATGTAATGTAATGTATATTGCCAGCTTTATTGTTCAGAATTTGGGGAGGGGGAACATGTTTGGGAAAGTTTTCAAGAGCTAATTTACAGTGCCTTTGATTCCATGCTTTTTGTTATATTTCAAAATGTTGAGAAAATGCATGCACAATCAAAATATGTATTTACCGCACTTTTTGTGGATCTCATTTTCACTGAGCAGTGTGTTGTCAGAGCTCTTTAAATGCATATGTGTTCCAAGACACTTTTACGGTTGTTAATGTGTACAGTATGAATAACTAAAGATTTGTCTGACTTGCATTTGAGTGGGCAACGGTAGCCTGCCATTTGATTAGTCTTACATTAATGGATATTATTATTACTATTATTACATAGTATTTATATAGCGCCAACAGTTTGCGCAGCGCTTTACAATATAAGGAAGACATTACAGTTACAATACAATTCAAGACAAGATGGTGAGGAGGGCCCTGCCCCTGAGGGCTTACAATCTTATGTTAAGTTTCTGGAGCATTGTATCCTGTAATGACCGCTATATCTTTTTTTCTATTTTTATGTATTACAGTCCAGCAGTATTCAGCGTGGATGACACAGTCCTTGAAGTACATTTTGTCCTGGCCACCTTATCAGATACAGATCATGCCTCACAGTCTCAGAACCAAAGGTAAATGTTCACCTTTGTCATAAATGTTGTATTTTCATTGAAGGCAGCCACAAACGTCCAGGTCTTTTGCCAAGTAAGAAGCACTGGGACCTACTTAACATTTCTCTCCCAGTCATCTGGCTCTGGTGTTTTACCCCTTCGGTTAGTACTTGAGAACATAAGATATTTTTTATTGCTTAATAGCATGGCATTAACCTCTTATTGATAGCTGTCTTATTTGAATTGCACAGAAACCAATATGTTGCACGTTTTTGGCGCTTGCCTACAGGGTGGAGTAGGGTAACCTCTTCCACTATTTGCCTGCTTCAGTATAATTTTTTTTATTTTTTTATTATTGACTGTGCTGCTTTTTCAAAAATGTATTATTGCATCCTATCACCTAGTCCGATGCGTTGGGGTTCAACAGTGTATCACTGGACAGAAGGTAAGGAATTCTCTCCACATAAGACTCAAGCAGCAATAAACCATGGCAAAAATAACAACCCCTTCTGTGCTTGTATTCCCTACTGCCCCTTTACAATTGCTGTCACAACATTTTGCCTTCAACAAGATCCACTCAAAGATCAGAGAAAAGGTAATGGAAAGTAGAAAATGCAAAAGAAATAAAGCTATACCACTAGCAGAAGCTAGCGGCCTTCTTTTGTTTGAGCCCTGGTTTTAGCCTTGCGAGTACTGTGGTATAGTGCCGCAATTCTGGGGCCACAGGTGCTGTTGTAGCGTGTGTTAGTTCTTTCTGCATTTATGATGCTACATATTGCCTTCTTATTGGTACAGGTCTTAATGCAGCAATAAGGTAAGGCATTTCTAGGTTATCCTTATGTCTGAGCATGATGCAATGCCACAGGGAATGTCCAACAACTCATCACATACCGTTCCAGGTCATCTGTTGATCAGGTCTTGGTAAACACCTAGGTAGGAAAATACTAATAGTCCCTGGGCCTATTCTTGCAGAGGTGCAAGCACCAGCAAGTTTCTCCCCACAGCTGCCACTGATATGGTAAATGTCAGCAAGAGTTTTTCAATGTCACTGCCAGCAGAAAAGGGATGGGGGGGGGGGGGGCAAAGATATCCTTTTCACATTGAGTTGAGGTAAGCCTCCCTAACAAGACACGGATGACAAAAAACACGTCATAATGGTTTTAAACTTTCCCTACTCTATCCAAAATATAAAAGAACGTTTTGGCTTTAGACATTCTTTCATTTTATGCTTTTATAGTCTTGTACTGGTCTCGGTTTTATTATTTTTCCTTCTTTTACAGAACATCTGCGGTTTTTAAAAAAAAATTGTTTTGATTTTTAACCCTAGTTTTTTTTTTTTCTTCACTGGCAGGAGAATGTTCACCAACACAGTGGCAAAGTGCATGACTTTATTTTATGTATTGATATAACTGCTGATATATTAATCATCTCTTTGCCAAGTACATAGACCCAATGCTATAGGTCCTTGCTTAAGGTCCTGCCACTCATGCAAACAATTTACACAAGGCCAGTTTAGGTGAAAGTCTATTTAGGTGCAGGTGCTTTTTTGGAGTACGGGAGGGAACTGAAATACCTAGAAGAAATTCATGCAAATGGGGGTAACCTATACAACTCAGGAGTGTATTTTTAAATGTATTCACACAACTTTCACCCATTTTCTAATTGTAATTGGGGAAATGTGTGAATCCTGGGTGAATCTTGTGCGGGGGGAAAAAAATTATTAATCGAGCCTATAGTGTTTATATGCACAGGTACCCGCAAAGATGTCAAATTAAAATTATAGGTCTGGGATGCATCCCATTTTTGCAAATTTATATAAACAAGGAAGACATGTATTTGCTTTTTCCAGGATGTTCAACAATTTAAAAACCATAAAATGAGAAAGCAATATGCTATACAAGTCGAATACGATTTCCATGTGTCTACATATTACGTATTTGTAACATATGGGTCACTTTGCTTACGTTCATGTCTAGAAATGTGAGGGAGTAAATTGTAATCTGTTACACTTTGGCAGCTTCTAAAACAGCAGGTGCGTTTGTCTTTCGCCAAGGAGGTACCCTGGAAGTCTTATTGTTGTCAGGGGTATGCTGCCACCTAAGACCCCGTTCACATATAGCGACATACCTTTGCAGCGGCCGGGATAGCGCGACTTTCGGGGCAACGATAGAAAAAAAGCAAAATCGCGCAAAATCCGCCGAAAAAAGGGTCCGGTAGAAGCGACGCGCGACATGGAGTTAAGACCGCTCCATTGAATAGCATTGGCCGGCAACTTCTCGCGATATCGCGCGGCAAAAATGCGCGATATCGCAGCGGAAATCGCGCGACAATTCGCTATATGTGAACGGGGCCTAAAGGAGGATTGGGCACTGGTAAACTAAAATCTGTATGCCAACCCAGCATAGCCCATCCTATTTTTGGCTAGTGCCCTAAGAGGATGGATGGGTTTTTTTTTTTTCTCCAGCTCTGCCGGGAAAAGTCTACAAAAATTACATTTATTCACTCTAGTACAAATTGGTTAATCATCCCTCATAATTGAGGTCCACCAACCCTCTAAATTTTTTTTAAAAAGGGTGAAGATGCCAACCTGGGAACTATAGACCAGTCAGTCTAAAATCAATAGTATGCAAACTGTTAGAGGGGATGATAAAGGACTATTTAGTGGATTTTGTTTGTGACAATGGTACTATAAGTGATAATCAGCACGGATTTAGGAAGGACCATTCCTGCCAGACCAACCTACTGACATTCTACGAAGAGGTGAGTAGAGATCTGGATGGTGGGAGGCCGGTGGATGTAGTATATCTGGATTTTGCCAAAGCTTTTGACACGGTACCACATAAACGCTTAGTACACAAGCTTAAGTCTATGGGCATAGATGAAATGGTGTGTATATGGATAGAGAACTGGCTACAGGACTGAGTCCAAAGAGTATTGATAAATGGCTCTTTTTCAGATTGGTCTATGGTTGAGAGTGGCGTGCCTCAGGGTTCTGTGCTAGGCCCAATACTGTTTAACCTGTTTGTTAATGGGGTAGGTGTTAATAGCCATGTTTTCGTGTTTGCAGATACTAAAATTGGGAAAGTCATAGACACGGACTTAGACACTATAGCATTGCAGAGGGACCTGGAAAAAATAGCGGAGTGGGCAACTACATAGATGAGGTTAAATGTTGAAAAATGGAATGCATTTTGAGGTCAAAAACAGCCAAGGGGAATACTTATTAATGGGCACTCCACTAGGGAAGTCAGAAATGGAAAAAAGATCTGGGGGTCATAGTAGACCACAGATTGAGTAATCAACCAATAGCTTGCAATGCCAGGCTGCGACAAACAAAGCAAGCAGAGTACTGTCTTTGTATTAAAAAGGGAATGTACTGTAGAGACAAGGCAATCATTTTGACACTTTATAGATCGCTGGTTCGGCCTCATCTGGAGTATGCGGTCCAGTTTTGGGCACCAATCCACAGAAAGAATGTCCTTGAGCTGGAGCGAGTCCAGAAACGGGCAACTAAACTAATTAAGGGGCTGGAGGACCTAAGCTATGAGACGAGGCTATTAAATTTAGACTTGTTCATGCTGGAAGTGAGGAGATTAAGGGGGGACATGATTTTGATGTACAAAATGTTTAGTGATAATGGCAACATCTGCAATAAACTTTTTACTATAAACTCTGTAACAAGGACTAGAGGCCACCACCTAAAACTGTTGGAGAAAAGATTTAACCACAAGGGGCGTAGGGTTTTTTTTTTAGTTAGAGCGGTTAAAATCTGGAACTCGCTGCCACAAGAAGTGGTATCGACAAAGAATATTGAATAATTCAAAAAGCATTTAGATACCCTCCTCAGAGACCACAACATACAGGAGTACAGGTACTCTTAAAAATTAGACCACACACTTGCGTGTGTTGCCCTTCTCTGAACTCCTTTTTCACAGACGACATTCTTGTGCATTGATGACAAAAACTGAACTGCATATTCAAGATGAAACTGAATCAGTGTTTTACAAAGGGGTAGAGTTATGTATTTAAATGTATGACTTTCTGGCATTAGGTTCTGCATTGGGTGCTTTCCAGACTCTGTTCTGGTAACATGTTAGCCACAGAGTGCTTTCCAGTTCCTCTGCACTTGTCCTGTCTCTGAAAACTCACTCTGTGAGTCAGCCTGAGCTGCAAGACCTTTCATTATTTGCTAAGCGCCTTTTGAATTGCTGGTTTTACAGTGGAAGGGGGTAATGCTGAAGGACTGAGTGCTGATAGCATGCACTGGTTGGAGTTTCATGCATGCTCTGCTCTTTCCCACCATTTAGCGTTGAAGTACTGCCCGTTTACAGTGAGGTTGGTCACCTCTGGGCATCTGACCCTGATTGGCTAACAGCTGTCTGGGTTTTGTTAGTACCTGAGGTCTTGCCTCATAACCTGAGCTTAGTTGCGCATCACCAGCACGCGGTCGCAACATGTCTGTATGCCATAATGGGTTGCCCCAGTTCACATTCTCCTAACGGTTCCAGAAACATTTTCTTTATGTCCTCTGAAGGCACTGATGTCTGTAATCTGGAAAAATGTTTCCCTCTGGTTATAGGCTCTTCCTCATCAAAGTCCCGCTGCGTGCAGTCTGCCCAGCTTATTTGCTGTTACCCACCACTTATTTGCACTGTATTTGAAGTCTCAACAGTATATTCCTTTCTTTGTCTCTTAATGGACAGGGAAGAAAATAGGATTTTTGTACACATCATAAAATCCTTTTATTTGGAGTTCATTGAGAGAGACAGGACCCACCCTCTGTGTTTTATGATCATGCTTCAGTATTGCTTGCTACAAACTCAAGCATGCTGGGGAGGAGGGGTTTCCCCAGGCTGGCCTACAGACTTTTTTTTTTAGTTTTTTGTTTGCCCATGTGCAATCCTCCTGTAGGCAGCAGTATAACAACACAGTATATGACTTCTGTGTCCCTCAATGGACAAGTTGAGGATCTTACAGCAAGTATGAGTTGTAACATTAAAGCTCACAGATAACCTTATCCAAGTTGATTTGTTTTAAAGAAGAACTCCAGGATTTTTTTATAAATGTGTCTAGGTGTTAGAGTAACAAACATATACTCACCCAAAGCTCCGAGCTGGCCAGCTGTCATGGCGGTTCCTCCTGCCTGTCCCCTCCTCTGTTGCGCATTGGAATGTTCCCCAGTGTCCTCATGTCTATGCACAGTGTATAGACTTGATGATTTACTTAACCTTAGACCACTGCAGAGGAGGGGGAGAGACATTCCAGGGACCAGTCTAAGAAACCAGCTTGGAGTTTTGGGTAAGTTTATCTTTGTTTTGTTTATTTTTTAACCTAGACACAAAGGAGCAGTTTACCCATGCAATGCGGGGGTAGCCAGACTGCAAGGATTAATAAAAAAAATTTTTAAAAACATTCCTGCGGTTCTGCCGGCATACGATTCCCGAGTGTAGCCGGCGTTATATTCCCGAGTGTAGCCGGCGCCGGCATACGACTTTCAGTTTCGTTTTCTGCGTCACAGCGGGGGGCGGAGCCGGCGGGAAATTCAAAAGTGAAAACATGCAATATACACACAATACAATGTAATCTGCTATGATTTACATTACTGTATCAAATCATTTCACTTCAGTTTTGTCCATAGAGCTTTGTCCAGTGCCCTGCCTGCACTTTCACTGTTTTTTCTGCCTGGAAACTTGTGAACGTCCATGGCATCCAAAAAGCGTCCCTTTAGGTCAAAAGCGATAGTGATTTTGAATCACTTGCAGAATGGAGCGATAGCTGTTCGTGCGGAAATTCGTCATCAGACACAAAGTGACGACAGTGACGATTCTGCGACCGAGCTCAGTAATGTGCGAACTTGGTGCTCTATTGACTGTGGTACGGATCAGTATCACAGTCAATAGAGCACGGATCAGGCAACGCCCCCAGAATTCCCATTTACTGGACCATTTATTTTTTATTTATATTATTTTTTTAAATGTACCGCTTTGGCATGCAAAAATACTGCATAATCAGACCGCCAAGGTAAAGTGTGATTGTGTAAATTGAAGCGAAGACAATTTTTCATGGAAAATTTCTCAGAGGCTCATTACAAAGTTATTATATCGCAAGTGAGTAACCCTTTTCCCACACCTGATTGTTGTATTGCACAATTATTACCGAGGTAGTGACTACCGAGATCTATAATTTTTTCACAGTAGAATCTGAACTTAGTAACTTCTTCACGTCCTATAGAGTGCACATATTTTATTTTATTTATTTGTCGAGACCGAGCGCAACTCACTTGCGATATAATAAGTTCACCCACACACATAGTTGCGGCTGGTCGAACTAATTATTTAGTTATTTAGTTTTCACACCTAGCGCAGTGATTCTTGAATTATCATTACAAAGTTAGTTTTGGGTGGACTTTAAAAAAAAATTATTTTCTGTAGGAGGTCTACTATGTAAATTGACCATGTTGCAATATCTTTTCAGAGCTGCCTTGCCTGATAATGATGATGATGATTTTCTGGGTGATGACCTGGACTACATGATTGCCATGGAAACTACCCTGGCAGAAACATCCTCCCCTCCACATAGTCCAACCTTTAGCAGTCGGCCACTCCCAATTCTCGCCCAGGAAGAGCAAGCTGTATCTTCAGGATGTGAAGATGAGGCAGAAAGGGAGGTTCCTGGAACACCCCCAAACAAAAAGGTAAAATAACATTTCATTGTACATACTAAGGTGTTGGAACTTTGTTGTAGTTAATGGTCACTTTTTGTATGTTAACTGTCATTATGTACAAAGTATCCTTGTATCTTGCCAATATTAAAGCAGACCTTCCACCTATTCATGGCTCTCCTTCTCCCCTCGCTCAAAGGCTGCATACAAATACCTGTGGGGACAGTACAGTGGGATATTATATTCTCCTTTCTCCAGCTTCTGTGGTACAGGGGATGACGTCATCCTCCTGCTGACAAGATCCCTGGGAATTCTCAGTAGCCCAAATCTCAGAAGACGAGTGCAGAGTTGTCTTCTCACAAGATTTGGCCTACTCAGGATTCTCTAACTGGAAGCAAGGTGACGTCACCCTTGCCTAGGCGCTGCAGGAGGAAATTGGGGAAAGGTAAGGATATTATATATTTTTTTTTTCCTTAGAGTTCTCCGGGATTCGATCGTGCTACCAGCCTTAGACAAGTACTTGGGAATAAAGAGTCACACCAAATTGTGTATCCACTCTATATTCAAAGGTTAATTGTTAGTGACATTAAAGGCTATTTTTTCCCCCCTCTCCCCAATGTTAGTGTAGGGACTTACCCTAAATCATGCCTCTTAATCCAATCATCTTCTTTAGTGTAGTTTTCAGCTGTACCTCCAGCGCTGTTGTGGGTCTCCGATCCAGCGCTGGCTCCTCTGTCCTCTTCTTCTCTCATGTCCCACGGAGTCTGTGCGGGTGCACGCTGCTCCATATACTTGCCTTGTGTCTCTCCTCATCTCCTGGCCGAACATCTGAACGGCGCATGCGCCCGCCCCAAGATCCTTTGCTGCCACCCGAAAAATTTAAAGATGTTCAGAAGGGAGCGCGCGGCAGAGACGCAGGTAAGTATTAACCCTTTGAAAACTTTTTTTTATTTATCGTTTTGCATATATCCAAGGTACTTCCATATTAAAGAAACGTCTGGCATGTCCTCAACTGGGGCTTTCCTGATTTTCTTGTACCAGCAGAAGTTCTGTTCCCTTGGAAAAGAGTCTCTTAAAAGTCCATAGGTGGGTGTTATTTCAGTAAGATGGGAGTGGAGTCATGTAGGCTCTTTGACTTGCATACTCAAAATAACAGGCACATGACAAGTTTAACTGCAAAGTAAGGAAATAAAACAAGCAAGAATGCTATAAAGATTAAGATGCATACCTTTTTTTAAACATCCAAAATTCCACTAAACAAATCTTCTCCTAACCATCTCAATCCAGTTATTTTAGTAGGGAGCTAAGCATAAGTTTGATGACCACATATAAAGTTGTAAAGGATCCACTTAAATGAAGGGCAAAGATTACAATTAGGCAGCTTATACTATCTTCAGGGGAGCATAAAAATTCAGGCAGACTTGGGGAGCAAATGTGTGATGTGCCACCTTCAGGCTTACTATTTTATTATTTTCCTCTGTAATATTAAATTCACCTTGGATTTGGGTTTAATTGAGACTAGAGGAAAATACTATGATTGGGATCAAACCTGTGTGTAAGTGTAAGGACACCTATCACTGTACTCGCATTATTGCTTTTTGCGTACAATTTTAGCATTTGGATAAAAAGGGTTATTATTTCACTTCTTTCTAATTGACCATTTTACATTATGGGTGCCGCCTACTTCTTTCCCACACTTTCATTTGTACAAACATTTGCATCCCTCATATACACAAATGATGCCCATATATACACTGAGTAGCCAGTTCATTTTGACCACCTGACGTTTGTAGGCAAATTAGCTATAATTTCGCTGTTAGGGCAGAACGGAGAGTGGCAAGACTGGTACAAGACAACAGAAGGGCCACAGTGCAGGGTCAGATTCCTCGCATCACGAGGCGGCCCAACGAAGTCATCTCGTGGATTCATCTCATGGCCCAACGAAGTACTGATGGGGTGGTCATAATAATCTGGCCACTCAGTGTATATATTGATATGCCTAGTATTTTTACAATGACTAGTATGTATTCGACCAAAATTCCCTTTAAGCTTGACTGCTGTCTCGGTCGTCAGTGGAACTTATAGGTCTCTAGGTTTTAGACACTGAGTACCTGCAACAGAAGAAGGGTCTGGGATGGAAGAATATATTATCCAAAGGTTGAGTGCATGTTAAAACACACACACGGGGAACTCAGGCTTAGGGGAGTGTCTCAAAGGGACAGTCACTACTGGATTGTTCTGGGCACAGGTCAGGCAAAGGCTGTACTGACAAATTGGAGAGCAGCCTGCTCGCTGCCTCATCCACTGCTCTTCTCCCTCCAGCTTCTCTTATACCTACTGTTGTATGGGCCTTTACCTTCAAAATGGCCACCTGAAGGGGCTAATGGAAGATCTAAACATTTTTTTTTTCTGGTTAGATGAGAATTCTGGTTAGTTGAATTTCCGGATAACAGAGTTTACTGTATTTGGAGCATCTTGAAATGAAAAATACGACAAAGACCCAGGACTGTTGAGCAGTTAAATTTCTGTATCGGCCAAGAATGGGACAATATTTCTCTCCCAAAACTCCAGCAACTGTTTAAAGAGTGTTGTTAAAAGAGGGGATGGTAAACATGTTCCTGTCCCAACTTTGATGGCAACAGTGCATCTCAATTTCAAAATTGCCTTATTTTTTTTTACTGAAAATGGTAAATTTTCTCTGTTTAAACATTAGATATGTTTTCTATTGTGAATAAAATATGGGGTATAAGATTTGCAAATCATTGCATTCTGTTTTATGTAGATTTTACACAGTGTCTTAACTTTTTTGGCATTGCCAGGTTAGAATTTTCCAGGTTAGAAAACCTATTCTGAACACTATTGTGCGAAACAGCACTCATCTCCACTCCCTACACTCTCCATTCATGTGAACAAGAAACTTCTTCCAGGCATTCTTGTTCAATGACCTGCCAGGCAGTCCCAATGCTTGAGTATAGTTGGAATGGGCATTTAGTTGCTTTGATTTATGGGTGGTCAAGTGTTATAGTTTTATAATTGCCTGGAGTTCCTAAGTTATCAGTGCGATATGTTTACATCATCAGGATGTGGAGTTCGTATGGTCTGACGGCTGTGACTGCGGGCTAGCAGCGCTAAATGTAGATCGGGTAGCTGCCGCTCATTTGGTACAAGTGTATAAAATGAGCAGCGATCCTTCTGGAGAACCCGGGACCATGGCAAATGAGCTCACTTTTTTGCCAGGCAGGAGGGGTCTGGTGGGACAGGCCATTGAAGTGCGATTCCCGAGGGGGCAATTGCATTGCAGCCCGAGGGTGTGGCTACGGTGCCATTCACTTCCATGGCCTGCCACGCCCCCTCCAGCCTGGCCAAAAAGTGAGCTTGCTGCGATGCAGAGCGTTCCGGGCAGAATCGCAGCCAGAACGCACTGCCTATGGTGTGAACTAATCCTTACTGTTCTCCGCTCTGCTCTGTGTGATCAGTGAGACCAGAGTGCTGTAATCACAGCCACCGGTCTCAACTGTCAGAAACTGCACAGAAGATCTGTGTTGGAGGGCAAGTTCCATAAAGAGAACCTGTCACCTCCAAACTATCACATAGGGGCTTGTAAGCCCCTGTGTGATGGGAATAAAATTAAGTGGGAAAATTTAAAACCAACCCTGCCTCCCCCACCATCTGCATGCAAACAAACGCACGTGTAGGACATTGTGTGTGTGTTGAGTGCTGCCGCCATTCCACTGTGTGCCTGTGTAGCCAGCCACAATGTGCATTAAAGGGTAAGCTCACTTTCCCAGGTAATTTGGGAAGATGGAATTACCCGCTCAAATCTGGACCTGTCTCCCAAACCCCCACTATACTTACTCTTTAGTGAATAATTCTTTCCCTCTGCCAGTACGGGTGTATTATGTGTACCACATACTGCTGTCTAGCGCAGCCCTGTGCTATGCATTTTGAATTTCGAGCACTCATTTAGGGCTGCAGCTAACGATTTATTTTCATAATCGATTAGTTTGCCGACTATTAAGTTTGATTAATCAGATAAAAAAAAAAAGGCTCCAGTGATGGATTACTAGTTTCTGTTGAGATTGTAGTCCATCAGGGGAGCAAGCTTGGCGCGGTGGAAAGCGGCGGCAGAGTGCTGTGCGGGCGTGTGTCCAGCTTGTGCGGTGGTTGGGTACGCGGCGTGGGCGCTGCGTGCATAGCGTAACTCGTGTATGGAGCCGCGAACAGGCGGGCGTGAGTGGGAAATATAAATTTTAGCCGACGAATCGACGATGGAAAACGCTGACGTTTTCCATCGTCAATTTTAATCGACTTAATCTAATTGTTGCAGCTCTACAGAATACCAATGTATAATACACCGGCACACTGCTGAACACCAGCAGCTATAGAGGAACAACAAATCCCAGCAATAATACATTAAACATGTTGTTTTAATGTATTATTGCTGGGATTTGGTGTTCCTCTATAGCTGCTAATGTTCTGCAGTGTGCCGCTTAAAAAAAAAAACAGGGAACATTAAAAAGCTACCGGCCGATCTCGACTTACCTTGAATGACGGTGTTGTCGGCGGGCAGCAGCGGCGTTGTTGGTCGGGAAGCGCCAAGTTGGGAAGCTCATTAGGAGGAGAGGGCCAGACGCATGTCCTCAGCGTGTGTGGTGGGCATGGCGTAAGCGGCGTCGCATGAGCAGGTTTACCGATGTGGGCGTGGCGTGAGCGGCATGCAGCGGCAAGCAGGAACTTTTGAATTTTAGCCGACGAATCGACGATGGAAAACGTTGACAACGTTTTCCATCGTCGATTTTAATCGAATAATTGTTGCAGCTCTACGCTCGGTGGTCAGGTGACTACGCTGACCCAATGAGAAGCGCTATTTATCATGGTTAAATACGGTTTTGATTAAAACTATTTGTTTTTTGTATTGGGACAAGTAGATTGTTTGTTTTTTTTTTTTTTTTTTTTACTTACATTTCCACACCCCCTGATCATGTTGTAACTGTGTTTCCTTGTATACTAAAGTTACAGTTCTAATGTAATGCAGTAAACCACAGGAAGGTTATGTTCTTATCTAAGGTCACACCTTGTGTTTGAAGATGAGAAACAAAAGCGATGTAAATTAAAGTTGAGGGACACTGTTAATTATCACATGATACGATCTCTGTGATAACAATAAAGGCAGATGTGCATTTAAAATAGAAATATAGGTATGGTAAGATGACCTCATGGTATCTTCTCACACTTTTTGAAATTTTGGGTTTGGCAATTTGCTATCCTAAGTGCTGCGTAAACTGTACAGGTACAGGTACTCTTCAAAACAAGATCACACATGGACTTGTGTACACACATACACCATCACACATGCATACACACAAAGGTTGAACTTGATGGACCTGTGTCTTTACTCAACCTCAAATACTTTGTAACTGTTGGCACTTTATCAATCCTGTATAATAATAATAATAATAATATTACACAAAGCTATATAATGCTTTCTTTTTTTTTCTCTTCATTATTCAGTTCAGGTCTCTGTTTTTTGGGTCTGTCCTTCAAAGCTCTGGCCAGACAGCCCAAGAAGTTCTGGCTGAAGACAGTGATGGATGATGTTGTGGAGACAAGATTTCAGAAGTGAACTTTCTTTCTTGAATTTCATCTGCAGCATAAAGTTTATGCTCTTGTACTAGACCAGGTCTTTATTTTAAAATGGTCATGAAGAATCTTTCTCGTGCTCAACAATGTCCTGGGAAGGATGTGAGGCATCTACCCTATGCACCCTATGGAGGAACACATTTTATTTACATTAAAAATATTTATTGAAATTTTGCTGTATTGCAAAAAAAAATTAAAAATCAGTGACAGCTCCTTTTCATTATAAAATGCAAGTGCTCATAATGTGTAATGTTAAAACTGCAGACAGAGGTGTGTGTTTCTAAAAGCAATAGGACGCAACACAAACATGGCTGGAAGAAGGAGAGTCTACAGCTAGACCTTACAGTTTTATAGAAAGTGGATATTACTATGAGAAGCCACAAACATGACCGTCTTTTGTATGATAAGCTGCCTGGTCATTATGTCTTTGTCCACTGTCAAGTGCATATTGTTTAATTGCAGTATAAAGACCATAACAAATAAAAGAACAGCTAATATATGACTTTGAGATACGTTTACAAAAATGTTTTTTTTTTTTTTTTTTTAGTTGTCCCCCCAAAAGGGTTCTCAGTCTGCTGCACTCACCTGCTAGGTACCAGATGCAGCATCTCCCTTATAAAGATTGCGGCTCTGTTCTAGCCCACCTTTTTGTGTCATTTTTCCTAGTGTGCTCTTGATATTGTATTTTAAGTTACAAATTGTACTGAACCTGTCTTTACAGCAGGTGGGAGGAGTTGGGAACTCTCACAGATACCAAAAATCCCTGAACAATATAGAAACTGTTGATTTAACTCTCTGGCATGTAAACACACTGATAACATTACAACTGACTAAACCCAAATTAAAGTCTGTAGTGTCGAATGGCAAAGCATCTGTTAATGGGTATGTTAATAAAACCTTTTGCCATGTTTTGTCTTTATTTGTGAAGCTAAGAGTACAGTAAATGTCACGTTAGCTGACTTGCTAAACCAGAGATCCAGAATAATGTTGTCTGTGCTCACCTTTGCTGAATCTTTGGGAGTAAGCTAGGGATGTGCTACCTGTGCCTGCCCACATCTCTGAGATTAATGGTATGCTGAACAGAAGATGTCAATTAAGGGTTCAGAGGTGACCAGTTTAAACGTATTTGAATGTTAAAGAAAAAAAACTGAGATTTTCATATAACTAGCTTGTAGTTATATGAAAAAATAGGAAAGAAAGGGTTTTGTAGAGAGGTATAAAACCATGCATAAATAAAATATATCAAAATTATGCATAATTAGCCCAAAATACAATCAGTTCATTGATACAATATTCGATATATATCTACCATGGTTCGTCCCATATATAAATATTCAGTTCATTGGTGCAAATATCCAGATAATTGTCATACATGATTAGGCCCCACGCGTTTCGCATTAAGCTTCTTCTGGGGACTACGCTAATCATGCACAAGGGTGCCTGGAAAGGGATCGATATGAAAAGGACCGAATTGGAATTGGATTGAATATGGACAATCTGCTCCTAAAGTCCCGCTCTGTGCAGACGCTGCGAGAGGATCTTTGCAAGACCATTCGAACACTGAAATGATTCAGATGGTTTCTGAATCTGTAAAAATCCTTGTTGCATCTGACACACAGCACTTAGGCCTTCTCTTAACACTTTGCCCAGGCTGGTGTCTCCTACCTCAGGGGAAGTTTCTGAACTTGCAGGCTCAGATACTGGTTCTCCAGTCCCAGGATCGAGCATCGGTCAAGTTTTGGGGCTTATGGTGGCCAATGTAACTTAGCATCTTGTTCACTTGGAATAAGCAGACACTTGTGATATTGCTGCCCTGGTGAATTTCATGTCTGGCGCTAGAAACCAGAAAGTCCTCCCTTCTGCTTTAGTGAATGGTACTGAAATTGAATCACAGTCTGTTAGGCTGGGAAGGGGTCCTCAGATCTGTGACAGTTGAGGGGGCCTGGTCAGAGAGGGAGACCAGGCAGTCCATAAACATGCTGCATTGGACATATCTCCTTTATGGATTGCCTGTTTGGATCCAGTTGGACAATGCCACGGTGGTGGCCTTTGTGAATCATCAAGGAGTTGCGCTGCGTAAAGAGAAGCAAATCTCAGCATGGTGTGGGCACAAACATGTTTCAGCCTTTTTCACAGTTCACATTCCAGGAGTAGACAATTAGCAGGTGGACTTCCACAGCAGGCAGACGCTGGACTCGGGAGAATGTTCTCTCCACCCTGTGTTTCCCGAGATTTGCTGACATTAAGGCATGCCAGATGTGGACCTTCTGGTGTCCAGACTGAACAACAAGGTGGACAATTGGATCCTTGAGCATTCACGGGGGATGTGCTGGTGACTCCATGGGATCAGTTCTCCCTAATCTATTAATTTTCCTTCATTTAAGATTCTTCCTCTTTTGCTTTGCAGGATGCACTCGAAAGGTATTCTGGTGGTTCCAAACTGGCCAAGAAGAGTTGGTACGCACACATTTTCAACCTGTTGGCTAACTTCCTGGCCTCTTCTGGACCACTAACGTCTTCTGTCTCAGGGTCCGGTGTTCCCTACTGCTTCTTGGTTGCTGGCCTTAACAGCTTGGCTGTTGAATCTAGGGTCCTGAGGGACAGGGGTCTGTCAGATTCTGTCATTCACACCCTCTTACAGAAAGTCGACCTCTCACAAGGTGTACCCAGATTTTGCTTGGTACGAGAGACATGATTTCCATCCTAACTCTTACTCCTTGGGTTGGATTCTGGCATTCCTCCAATCTAGTTTGACTCAGAAGTTGCCCATGTGTCTCATTCCACTATTTCTAGGTGGTTCAGACAGGTCATTGTTGATTCTAATTCACTCCCTGTGCAGATGGATCATAAAAAATAGGGTTGCACAGATACCAAGTACAGTACTCGGTACGAGTACATGTACCGATACTTTTGAGCTCCAAGACTACACTAGAGAAAAATTCAAAAATTAGGAGGCAGCTGTCATTTGTAAGGAGCACACAGAGCTCCTGGGATTTGTACATCTCTGTTTTAATGTAGGATTTTGTTTTTATAGATATAAATAAAGGGATGCACAGATACCAGTTTTGCGAGTATGAGTACTGGTACTTGCCGAGTACTTACAAGTATGAGTACTGATATATTTTTGTTTATTGTCATGTGACAGTTTTTCTAAAACAATACAGACTAATGATTTCAGGACAGTGGTGGAGCGCCAGAGCCAGGTCCCAGCTGCAACCACTGCAACTCTGGTAGTTCTCATGAAAATGCCAAGTATCGGCACTGGTACTCGAAAAGTATCTGTGCATCCCTAATAAAAAACCTTCCCGGGGGCGTGGTCTGCACCGTGAGGCTGATGGAGTTGAGAGCTCCGGCCAAACGGGACCCATACGAAGCTACTTTTGCCCTTTGGGACCACCATGAAGATTGGGAAGCGAGACTACCAATCCAGGGTCCAGACGCCCTCAAAGTCACGAACGGGCAAGCAAGTGCCAGACATTTTCAGACCCCAGAAGTCAATATGGCGTCCACCCAGAACAGGCCGGATAAGGTAAAGACCCCACGACATGCCGAGGGTGAGATGCCTGACCCCCAGATGCCTTCTTACCTACATAATCTCCCGACCAAATCAGAGCTCTCCTCGGATATCAAGGCGGCCCTGTGCAATGCAGTCACGGAGCTACGGCGTGATATCCAAGATGTCGGGCACCGCCTGACGGTGGTAGAAACGGCAGGCCGCAAAAGAGACATGGCGATTACTCAACTCCAGGGTCAGTGTGATGCCACAGCCCGTAACCTAATTGAGATGCGGAGGCATCTAGAAGACCTCGATAACGGGCCGCAGAGCCAACATCAGACTCAGGGGGATCCCCGAGACGATCCTACCGAATGCTATCCCTGACACGCTGAGACACATTTTTAATGACTTGCTGGAGCGCCCAGCGGAATCTCCCATTGAGCTCATCAGAGCACACAGGGCCCTGAACCCCAGAGCGGCAGCCGACGACTTGCCCAGAGATATCATCTGCTGTCTGCACAGCTTCCCTCTGAAAGAGGAGATTCTTCAGAAGGCCAGAACCAGAGAAGCAGTAGAGATTGAGGGATGTGCAGTGATGTTATTCCAGGACCTATCGGTGATCACTTTACAGCAACGCAGGGCTCTGAGCCCTCTTCTAGCTTGCTTACGCGACAAAAGCATTGTCTACCGCTGGCGGTTCCCATTCTGCCTGGCAGCGACCCATAGAGGACAGACGGCCAGGATCCACCTGCCTGAGGATGTGCCGGAATTCTGCAACCGCCTGGATCTCCCGGAGGTGCCAATCCCTGACTGGTATGTGGACCTACGGGATCCCCAGAGGGAGGTGAACCGAATGGCTGGGCAGCGCCACCCCACACAGGGCTGGGGTCGACCAGATCACCTGGGCCTCGGCGGCAACGGAGGCAGCAAGAGGGGATGGGAGATGAATCTCTCCGTCCACTACAAGATGATGCCAACAGCATTGGCTCCTGTTCACCATAGAGGATCGTGCAGAGTGAACACCGGCCCGTTGGTCGGGAATGTGTATGCACAGTTTACTTTTGCTTTACACAGTTGGTGTTTGTTTTTGCAGGCGGCTAGTTTAGAGCTGCGTTTGGGATATCTGTTCTAATCCCCAGAGACATCATCGTTGCGGTCCTCGGGCGGGGACACCCTCTGAGACTGACGGGCACAGATTACAGCTGAGTTGACATGCCTTGGGAGCTGCTGGACGGGGACCCACACTTTCCCCAATCCCGGGCCCGGGGTTGCGGATGTGTGCCACTCTTTCCACTCCGGTGCACCCATCAGACTCATATGACGGAATTGTGAGATTGTCGAAAGGAGGATAGGAGAGACTGTTTGAAGGCCGCAGCGGTGACATTTGCGTGCTTTCAGGGCCTGTTGCAGTGTGTGTACTAAGGAGGAGGGCAAAGTGAGCTCAGGATAGCGGATCACTGGTGGGGAGGTGTGCCAGGGAGACGGCAACAATACGGCTATCCTTCTAAAGCTAC